ACTTAACTGGACCTCTTTATTTACTCGGTCTCTCCCCAAAATTGAATGGAACGACTATATTTCAAGAGGCAACTTGCAGCTCATTGTCATTAAATAATTTTTAAAGAGATATCCAATAAATTGCCTAACAGCTTTTGTCTGTTAAATGTATTTTTAGCAAAGATAAACTTGGAGTAACCTAAACTCAAAAGAAGGAACAAATTGCTGAATGAACCCATTAGAGGCAGTATGCAAAGAACCAATGAGCTAAACCAAAGATTACAATTAAACATACTTCTGAGAATGATCTTGCCATTCCATCTAACAATACCAGACTCAATCTAAGTTGACCTGTAGATGTATCTGCAATGGCGTTCCCCACATGCCCAGTCATGACTCCTTCATTAATGACTTAGAGAACTTGGTAAAAGGGGTAATTCCTCCGTAACTACAATGTGCCACGAGTGTCTACTGGTAGGGAAACTTGGATAGGTCCTTTGTAGTGTAGATGACTCAAGGGAAGTGGATCACTACATAAAATGGCGTTGCTAAAATTTTATGGAATGGGCAGGTTTCTACCATGTGGTTTCCAAGGCTGCTTCCCAAACTTGCTGCCCCATTCTTGATAAACCCAGGAGCCATAGTACTGCCCCCTTGATTAGGAGTGCTACTTATGTACACAAGACAAAATATAACCTTGCTCCTAGTAGCACATTGTCCAGCTTACTAGGAAATAGGGTGGAGAAGGAAAGTAACAAAAGTGAAATTATTTGCAATGATAAATATTTTGTGAGTTGAATAAAATCCTCTTAAATTATTGCTATCTGACTGATATAGTTTTTTTTTTTTTTAAGAGATATTTTACCAAGATACTTCTGCAACTCTGATTTTCAAGCATATTAGATAAGCAAGGTGAAATGTTTTTCAAGTATGTTGGGTTTGGGAAAACTCCAAATATGTTTTGAAACACTTTCCCCTTCAATTTTTTGAGTCCATATACATATTAAGGGTAATTTAATCTTGACTCATATGTAAGTCATCCAAGTATTGTTTCGTAAAACCTATCTGATCTCCAAATACAATAATACTCCTTTACATTTTTATTTGGATATTTAAATATATATACTTTAATACAGAAATATATGAGTTCCTAATGTTTTAAATATGAACTACCAATGTTTTAAATTTGGCTTAGCCTTTATGCCTCCAAATTTAATACAGTAAACTACTGTTTATTCAACATTCAACAATCATGTAACTTGAATAACTGAAATAGTCTTTAGGACTTTATTTGGTAAGAAAATAAACATGCTCTCATGGATTGAATTATGTTCCCCCAAAAAATGTTTATATCAATTTGTCTAGGCCATGATTCCCAGTATTGTGTTGTTGGCCTTCATTTTGTGATTGTAATTGTATGTTAAAGAGGATTAAGGTGGGATTGTAACACCATCCTTACCCAGGTCACATCCCTGATCCAATGTAAAGGGAGTTTCCCTGGGGTGTAGCTTGCACCACCTTCTAATCTCGCAAGAGATAAAAGGAAAGGGAAGGAAGCAGAGAGTTGGGGACCTCATACCACCAAGAAAGCAGTGCCAGGAACAGAGCGTGCCCTTTGAACCCAGGGTCCCTGCGCAGAGAAGCTCTTAGTCCAGAGGAACAGTGAAGAGAAGGCCAACAGAGAGAGAAAGCCTTCCCCTGGAGCTGAGGCCCTGAATTTGGACTTTTAGCCTACTTTACTGCGAGGAAATAAATTTCTCTTTGTTAAGGCCATCCACTTGTGGTATTTCTGTTACAGCAGCACTAGCTGACTAAGACACATGCTGATACAATGTTTTTTGTTTTTGTTTTTTCAATATTCATTCTTAGTACAGATTCAAACACTATCTAAAAACTTCTAATAAAGACAAATGACAATTAATAGTTATGATTAGTGTTCTTGATTGTGACATTATTTCCAAAAGTTTGTTGATACATTTTATTTATTTATTTGTTCATTGATAAAGCAAACATTTATTAACAGCCAGTCACAAAGGATGCAAAGATTAATCAAGCTGATATGGTTTCTGTCTTTGAGAAACCATATCAGCAAAGGAAATACATATATTTAAATAATAATAATAATATATTCCAATAAGTGATCAGATAAAGATAGTTGTTCAAAGAAGATTAAGCTATAATTTAAAAGTCATTTTATTGCATCCTAGTTCTTTGAAATTTACTTAAAATATTCAGTTAAATTGCCCAGTTTCTCAACTATTCTAGATAAATGAAAATTTATTGATAGTGATTTTGTCTATCTAACAGAAAACAACAAATATTTATAACAAAATTACAACCGAGATTCCATAGAAGAATCCTGATCAAAAGGGGTAAAATGTAGAATAGCATTTTAAATTCTCATGGACTCTAGACCTTCTGGAGCCATGGAGGATGGATGAACCCCTGAAACTACTGCCCTGAGATAATCTTTGAACCTTGAACCAAAAATATCCCCTGAAGTCTTCTTAAAACCGAACAATAGTTCATCTTAACTAGTGAAAAGGTCTGCCTTGAGCATTATGCTCTTTTAAAAACTATCTATATGGGATCAAATTGACACTAGCAACTCAAAAGATAGGATGGGAACCTTAGGGGGCAGTGCGTTTCTGTTAATGAAGGAGGAACAACTCAGAAAAGGAGGGTGAGAATGGTTTCACAGCTCAAAGAATGTAACTAATGTCACTAAACGGTCATGTAGAAACTGTTGAATCGGTGTATGTTTTGCTGTGTATATTTTCAACAATAACAACAAAATAAAACTTAAAAAAATTATTACAATATATTACAACAAATATATCTAAAAAAAAGTGTTGATGAACTTAACTGTCTTAGAATATGTTTGCAACTTTTCTAATGTAAGTTGCTCTATATTAGCTAGCACTAGAAAGGACATCATATTTGGTAGAGGGCCAGAGGAAAACCCTCAGTGACACAATAGCGCCAACAGTTGACTCTAAAATACCAACAATTATGAGGATGGCACAGGACCAGGCACTGTTTTGTTCTGTTATGCTTACGATCACTCTGAGTCAGAGTCAACTTGACGGCAACAAACAACAGTAACAAATATTATCTAACCTTAGAGATGAGGGATCTGCTGCATTGGTTTCTATATATTTAGTGATAAAATAGTCTTCCACACTAAAGTGTAACTCTCTGGCTCCATTCAATCCAACAGACTAGTGATTATTTTAAAAATAATAAAGAAAATTTATAAGAAAATATATTTGTAGAGAATAAAAGCAGTCAATTAGAAAGAAATAAATCTTAATTCCATGTTAATCATTAATATTTTATTTCTTCATTGTTTAGCAAAAATTTCTTGCACTTACTTTGTGTCAGGTACTATGTGAAGCACTAGATAATGAGTGATTTGCAAAAGCAGCTCTATTTTAATAGTTAATAAAAAATACGTCATCTTCCTATTTTTAGGGATGGATCAAATGATATAGTTTTGTGAAATGAATAATTATAAACAATGTGATATTGTTTAAAATAATTAGTTTAAAATGAAATAAAAATATCTGTACATAAAGATGTAAATGCTTTTTGTATGTATACTCTGTGGAGTACATTTTTATGCCACTCTCACAAATAAAGATAAATTGGCATCTCATCAAGTTATATTACATGGGAAAGAGAATTTAGCTCAGAGTATACCATAAACCAGGAACTGTTCAAACTCCTTAATACACTCAAAATCATTTAGTCATCATGATAAATCTGTAGTGTGCAGTATCATCCCCTAGTTAAGAAATGTGTATCTAAGAGAGGACTGTAATGATGAATTTTAAATTATTTTAGTTTCACATTCTCAAGTACAAAATCAAAGTACGCTATCGATATGATAAAATGAGTTTTAGGAATTATATTAAAACTGTAACTACTTTCAACTCTAGGATATAAACACACACACACGCAAATTCTTAGTTTTTTTCTTTCTGTTCGTAACTCATTACCTATTGCTGTGGAGTCGAATTGCGACTCATAGTGACCCTGTAAGACAAAGTAGAACTGCCCATAGGTTTTCCAAGGCTGTCCTCTTTACAGAGGCAGACTGTCACATCTTTCTCCCAACAGAGCGGCTGGTGGGTTCCAGTCGCTGACCTTTGGATTAGCAGCCAAGTGCTTAGCGACTGCACCACCTGGGCTCCTCCCTTACAGAGTAGAACTGTCCCATAGGGTTTCCAAGGAGCACGTGGTGGATTTGAACTGCTGACCTTTTGGTTAGCAGCCTTAGCTCTTAACCACTATGCCACCAGGGTTTGCATTTCTATTCATAGGGAATAATAATTAAAGGTCCACCGAGATTAGATAACCAAATTTATGGTTTGATCTAGAATTATTATAAAATTACATAAAACTGGTTGCCGTACTGTCCTCTCCAACTCATGGGAATCCTCACGGAACTGTGCTCCATAGGATTTTCAAAGACTGATTTTTCAGGAGTAGATCACCAGGCCTTTCTTCCAAGGTACCTCTGGGTAGACTCGAACCTTTAGGTTAGCAGCTGAGTGCATTAACAGTTTGCACCACCCAGGGACTCTAGAATTATATAGATTTAAAAAAATGTATATATATTTACCTAAACTATACTTCCATAAAATGCCTGACATAAATATTCAGATTCCTATGAAAGAAGGAAAAATATAAATACATTTTAAACTCAATGTTTTTGTGCGAACAACACAATCACTTTTTTAAAAGCTGTAATCATAGAAACTATATGTATTTCTAAAACAATTTTGCTCTCATTATATAACTATGATTCACACTGAAGTATTATGTTTAATGAATACATTAATACATAGTAATTCAAATTCTTGTACCATAGATGAAACAAAATTTTAAAAATTGTAATGCCTTAAATAAAAACACCATTTTTGTAGTGGTTTTTACCTTGACATTTCCAATTTATCATGGAAATAATTTTGGCTCATTAAAATAATATTAAATTATTACATTAATCAATATTTCAGGTCATGACCTCTGGATTTAAGAAATTCTTCAAGACAATGTCAAACATGACCCAAGAGAAAATGTGATTTGAGTCTGGAGACAATAGCGCATGTAAGTATTGGATAATTAGATTTTTCTCATGGTAAAATGTAATGTAAAACATCAACTCATTAATTACTGAATTGCAGAAACTGTGATGCATTGTTTTTCTTCTTTTCAAATGCTACATTTTTAGTTGTATTTAAAATTAATACAATGCTTCCTGATTTCTTGGTTATATTTTTCTTAAGGTCACTTAAGAAAAACTCAGTATACCTGATAGAAGAGAAAACGTAATTCAGAAGTTTGTACAATTGAAAAAAACAAGTTGCTTCTAGGTGAGTCATTGGTGAGGGCAAACAATTACAGAGATTCTATGGGCTAAATAATGCTGTGGTCTCCTTGCATGTGGTAACGAAATCAATAAACACAACATATGAAAAACTGTGTTTAAATTCTTACTGTAACCTTAGCTCTATAACAAAAATAATGATAAGTTTTTAAACAGAATTAAATCTAGGTTCATAGTTCAATGGAAAACATCCATTGATTGGAGGTTTTTTTTTGGTCTCCTTTGAAAAATATTTTGTTACACATTCAGTTAAACGGAGATTATATTTTTATTGGTATACCATGACAGCACATATCTCATAAATGTCAAAGTAGGTTGCTCAAGGACCTTACAGAGAGTAAACAATAAACAGTATATCTCAGCAATGTTTATCTTTTAGAATTAAGAGTCGAGTGGATATTGTCATGTAGAGGCCATTTTTTATCAGCTCAGAACTGTATCTCACATTAGAAATCTTTAAATAGAAATACTTTTATTTGATATTTTCAATATCTTGAAACATCCTTTCAATAATGTAGATGACTTAGGAAATGTTTTATATCCAAATTTAACAAAACAAAACCTTGGTTTCCTGCAGTGAAGGATAATTTCTATTAAATTATTAGGCTATTTTTATGATGTATGAATGTTGATTCTCAAGCAATTGACCTGAGAAAAATTTTCCCCTTATATTATTAAGGAGTCAGCAGATTAAAAACCAAATTAATACTTACAGATAATAGTGAAAAGCCTTATAATAATCTATCAAAATTTGTGGTTTTATGTTTATGTAGAATTCTTTATTTTGATATTTTAATCTGTAATCCCATTTTTGGTAAAGGCAAATAAAGCAAGATGTTTTATAATTTCTTAAAAGTATATATGTAAGAAGCTTTCCCCTGTGTAAGATTAATTAAAATGTACTAAAATAAGCTCTTTAGTACTTTAAACCCTGATGCTTTTATCATTTCTTATGCATAAGAATACTAACTAAACCCTTAAAGTAAAATTATCGTGTAGTTTTAAAAGAAATTTTCTGTTGAGAACCACCTATGTTTCATAAGTATTGATGAATTATATTTCTTTCATTTTCTATTGCAGTTTGATTTATATTATACAGAAAATTTCATTTTGGCTTTAATGATGGAGAAAAAGTGTATCTTGTATTTTCTGTTTCTCTCGCCTATTTTTATGGTAAGCATCAATTTCTCTAATGTATCTTCTTATCTGTGCTTATTTCTATTTTTAACTACCAGTATGCTTATAATGGATAAAAGTTAATAACAAAATTACATGCAGTTATCTGATGCATAAATTACTTAATTTTTTAATTTAATCAATGCAGCTATAATTTATTTTTCAGTGAATGTTTTCAGTTCTGTAACAGGTACTTTAGGATGGTGATGCAATAGGGAGTCAGAATACAGAAGGTCAATGGATACAAACGTGCAAGACAGAGTCTGCCTTAATAAAAGAAAGTAATTATCAGGGGGTGGGGCGGGGTGGGGGGAAGGAATGACTCTACATAACAGTGATACATAATAGAGAAAATATCTCCAACCAGACTTGTAGATTCTGATCTAGGTTGTTAAAGGAGCAGATTTCATTCTCCTGATTTTGCTCTGATTCTGACTACTGATTTAGATATATTGATTTAGAGGCAATTCAGAACCATGTACAGTGTTTCAACTAATTTCTTGATCTATTCAATCAAATATGTGTTAAATGTCCACTTTCTGGAAGGTACTGGTGCTAAGTTTGAGGCAGGTGTGTTTATGAGTGTGTTTTCATGCACCCACTCGTGTCTTTCCTTGTATATGCTGGGAGTGTGGGGTCAGAGGTCGAGAGTAGATAAAAAATTACTAAAAACAATTGCTATACTGGAAAGGCCATACACCTTATAAATTTAAATTTATTTTTATTTATAGAAAAGTTTTATTTTATTCATATAATTAAAACAGTGACTGTGCTTATTTCATCTAACTTTGTGCCAGCAAATAATTTTTCTATGGTGTTTCCAAGCAATCCCCACAAAGATTCAAACAAAGAAACTCAAGAAAAATAAAGAAAACCTAAGTGAGAAAAAAAGCAAGGCTACATTCCTGTCAGCATTTATATTTGAAAAATTCTCAAGTCTAGGAGCAGTCCAAATTCTGCACTTCTTCAATGTTATATTGAGTAAACAGACTTGAATTCAAGAAATTAAGACTTCTGTTTCTTCAGGTCACACCCTCCATTGAGCCTGCCAATGAGCTGTGCAGCCCAACACTAGCTTCCTAAAGATAATTCTCTACCAGATTACCAATCTGATTATTGTAATTTAAGGAAATGGACTGTTTCTGTTGCATTCATTCAGAGACAATGTGTAAATCTGAGAATTTCAAGTAAGAATAAAGATGATGTTGAATTTATGCAATTCTAGAAACTTTCCCTAAGAACAGGAGTTACACTTTTTTTTAATATTAATTTTCTTGCTTTTGTAAATCTCCATTTGTTACTGTGTATCACAACCACTGTATAAATTTTTTCTTAGGAAATTAAAACCAAAGAGTGAAAGAGCTAAGATTAAATTGAGGTGATGGTGAAAGTTGAGTTGGTGCCACACTGTGAGGAAATATTATTTACACTTTACCATGTTCAATTTCCTGTTAGAAAATAGAAAATTAAGAATGAGGGGAAAAAATAAGAGTAAAAAGATAACTGCTTATGGAAGATAGCTAACAGAAATAAATAATGCAAACATGAAACAGAAATAAGTTTGAAGAAAGGTTTATAAAGGCCTCACATTAGAAAACAGAAAAAACATCACACAGAAGTTAAGGTAGAAATGATGCTTAAAATTATGCTACTCAATTGGAAGAGCACAAATGTATAATTTATCCAAAACCCCTAGTAATGAGCCTTCAGTACAATTTTTTATTTACCAACAATGTAAATGAACTTGCCATTATTTTGGTTGTGAAAATATGGTAATAAAAATGGCAACAAATGTTTTGAGCAATGACAGTGTGCCAGAAGATACTTCCCCTTTTTACCTTCATACAATTTTATCCCACTGTACAATAAGAAAGTAGAGGCTTATAGAGGTTAAATATCTTGCCTGCATTCACGCAGCAAAGAAGTAGAAGTGAGTTTTGAATACATCTCTGTCTACATTCCAGAACACGTATTTAAGGGTGTACTGGAGTCAGCTGCCACAGGCTGATTCAACTTTGCAACTCCACCATCGGTGATGTCTTGTTGGTAGCTAGAAATTGGACGTGGTGAGAATATTTATACTATGAAGATGGGCAAATACTACAAATCAGGGATTTTCCTAGAGAGCCGATTTACCAGTCCAACTCATCACTGCGCTTGCTGCTTTCCACTGAGACAGACTACCTTGAAAAAGACATTTTCACAATTCTGAACTTTTCTTTTGTCTTTGAATCCCTTAGATTCTTGTCATAGCTGAATCAGAAGAGACTCAAGTGAAGCAAGAGAACTTAATTCAATTGGGTGTTACTAAAAATAAAATCATGACAGCTCAATATGAATGTTACCAAAAAATTATGCAGGACCCCATTCAACAAACAGAAGGTAACTGTGACTATTTAATTTTTAAATACATTTGACATATTTTTAAAATAAAACTATCCCATTACATCACCATAGGTTTTTAAGGTCTATGATTAAAAGCAGGTTAAATGCTAGTTTTCCTGATATGTGAGAAGTATTAAAGTAGGTTAAATGCTAGTTTTCCTGTTATGTGAGAAGTATTAATTCATTCATGAAGAACTTTTAATAAAATGTATCATCTATTCTGCTCCCTCTAACAAATTCTGATAAATAATAAAATATGTATAATAGCGAGCCCTTTAGTAACATTCCTTTTATCATATAAAGATTATATTTAAAATAGCAAAAAGTATGTACCTTTAATTAAATCAGTGACTGACATTAAGTTTATGTAGTTTGAATTAATTTTTTTCACAAGCTGCCTGTTTGGCTCTTGCATAACATAACAATATGACAACTAACACAAATATGTGACTTTGAATAACACATGCTTTGTGTAACGAAGTCTAAGTGCTTCTGTCTCCGTTAAGACAGTCTTTCGTTTTATAACATTTATTAGTATCTAAAACCCACTGCTGTCAAGTCAATTCTGACGCATAGCAACCCTACAGGACAGAGTAGAACTGCCCCACAGAGTTTCCAAGGCTGTAAATCTTTATGGAAGCAGACTACCACATTTATCTCCTGCGGAACAAACAGCTGGTGGGTTCAAACCACTGACATTTTGGTTAGCAGCCAAGATCTTTAACCACTGCGTCACCAGGGCTCCTCTATTGAGGACCTACTAAGTGCCAAATATTTGCCTGGATTCTGAAGGTACAAAGATTAGTAACACAGTAGAGTTGCCAGATTTAGCAAAAAGCAATAAACAATAAAAAAAAAAAATGATACTGTATTTAACCTGGCACAACCCTAATGACAGGACACCTTCAAAATATAAAGTGTAAAACTCACAAGGAAACAAAACAAAATGTAGAGACTAGATGACTTCCGTTTTTTAAAACTCTCAAACAAAATAAGATTTTAAATTTTTGAAAAGAATTTTTTTAGAAAGATCTTAAAATTTTTTGAAAAAAATTGATAGTAAATATATAGTTTGTTATTTAAATAAAATGTTAAAAGTAGATTATTAGTAGTATTTGTAACTGTCAAAATGATTCTTGCTTGTAAGAAAGAGGAAAAAGTATTTTTTTTCCCACATTGGTCGATTATCAAAATCTAAATTTAACTGAACAATATAACCTCTTCATCTTGGAAGAACTAGTTAAGTGTTATATTTGCCCAATATTTTCCCTGTAAGATGTTTACCCAGTTAAAACCATTTTTAAAATATTCCAGAAAATGATAGATTATCTGAGGTTAGGTCAATATATACTGTATAACCAAATAATAAAAATATTTGTGCACAAATTCTGTATTAATGGATCCCATTTCTCACATTACTCCATTTAAGTGTTACTAGAGTTATTTATTTAACACCTTCCAAATCATTTAGATGTAGTTAAAAGTAGGTTTCAAACTAAATTGTTGAACAATAACAAAAAAAAATAAAACCACACACACACACATGTTGCAGTTGATTCCGACTCACAGTGACCATATAGGACACAGTACAACTGCCCCATAGGGTTTCTAAGTAGTGGCTGGTGGATCCGAACTGCCAACCTTTTGGCTAGCAGCCAAGCTCTTAACCACCACCCCACCAGGGCTCCAACAATAGAAGTATGTATGTAAGTGTTTGATAATAAAATAATTCCATCAAATAAATCAAATAAGTTTAGGATTATGCCATAATAAATCTTTCTCTTGAAGTTTCATAATGCACTTTGTAATTTTAAATACTCCAGCAAGTCTGCAATAAACAGCCATCTTTATTTTAACTTAGTGTTTCCCAGATCAGTTTGACCCCTAGAAACCTTTTCAATGGAATACTTAATGACTACTTTATGGTTAAGGTGAATCAGCATCTTGATTTACTAACAAATAGTTATCTTGAAATTAAAATTAAAGCATCTTGATTTACTGAATAGTTATCTTTAAGAATTAAAATTAAAGCTAAACTAGATAGATAGAATCAATTACCAACAATACAATATTTCCTGATTTAATTCCAAGAATGCAAAATAAGGTGGAGAAATAAAATATGGAAAAAATATTGGGAAAAAAAGCTTCTATAGCGTCTTGACCCTCATAAAGAATAAACTGAAAAATCATTAACCAATAGAGTACAATTCATTCATTCACTAACAAATAGCCTAAATTTAAGGTATAATTAATTATCTAGTTTTGAATGAAATTTATGATTCCAGAGTTCATAGAAGCCAGAGAATTTCAATATTTTAGATATAGTTATTGCCATTGAGGTGTGATCATATCCCCGTAGATAACTCGTTAACCTAAGAAATGAAAGGAGTTGAATATTTTGTTGTAAGACTATGGGAAAACTTAAAATTGCCATACACTATCTCCATTTTCAATGGTTCCATGCACAAGTGTTGAGATAAATTTGAGCCCTGGTAGCACAACAGTTAAGTGCTCGGCTGCTAACCAAAAGGTCAGAGGTTCAAACCCACCAGTGGTTCCATGGGACAAAAGACCTGGCAATCTGCTCCAGTAAAGATTAAACTCATTGCCGTGGAGTCCAACTCATAGTGACCCTATAGGACAGAGTAGAACTGCCTCATAGGGTTTCCAAGGAGTGGCTGGTGGATTCAATCTGCCGACGTTTTGGTTAGCAGCCGAGCTCCTAATCACAGCCTAGAAAACCCTATGGGGCAGTTCTACCCTGTCAAATAGGGTTGCTATGAGTCGGAATCGACAACACACAATAACAACAACATAATATTTTGGTTAAAATATTTTTCGGATTTCTCAGGCAGCGTCCATATAGGCCTGGACTCAATACGTGATAAATTTCAGGAGCCAGGAAGCTTAGTCAAACATCCATGTAAAAATAGTCACTGACTTATAAGTTAATTTGATCAGTCACATATGGACATTCTGCTTTTGGATTTTATATAAAGTCTATTCCACCTTTGTAGGAATAATGACCAATAGTAACTTCTACTATTATATATACATTTATACAACCGTCACTTCACAATACAGCTTTTTCGGTTGGCATTTTAATAAATTTAATTTTTAGTTAAATTTGGCATATTAAGAAGTGTATTTTTAAGTCTGCAAAATTAAATTAGTATGTGTTGAAGTATTATTTTAAGTTCCCATCAAACACTTCCGATAAGCAATCAATACAGGCACACTTAATCGCTAGTATATCATTTAATATTAAATTTTATGAATAAGAAACAATCAGTGCAGTTTATTGCATTAAAATTCTGAGATGTATTTTCAATCAACTGAGAGTTACAATTCAATGATGACATCTCAAGGTATTTATGCATGCCAGCAACATATTTTTGTCCTTAAAGAATGGAATGCTTGTGTGTAGTTTTTTTATTTTAGCTTTTGTATTAATTTTTTCAGATATTTCTAAATTTAAGTTAGAAATTAATTATTTTAATAATTGTTGTTGTTGTGTTCCCTCAAGTTAATTTAAACCTATAGTGACCCTATGTGGCAGGGTAGAACTGCTCCATAATGTTTCGTGTTGTTGTTGTTAGGGGCCACACAGGGCAGAACTGCCCCATAGAGTTTCCAAGGAGCAGCTGGTGGACTTGAACTGCTGACCTTTTGGTTAGTAGTCAAGCTCTTAACCACTATGCCACCAGGGCTCCTAAGGTTTTGTAGGCTGTAGTATTTATGGGAGAAGATCACCAGGTCTTTTTTCCCTCAGAGCTGCTGGTGGGTTGGAACCATCAGCCTTTCAATTAGCAGCTGAGGGCTTAACAATTGTGCCACCAAGGTTCCTTGTTTTAATAATAACTAGTTGAAAAATGCAAGTAATACCTATAGATTCTACATGTTGTCTTTATTTTCAGTAGACAGTCTTTACTACACATCATTATGAAACCACTATTAAGACTTTTATGTCTTCTTGTGTAACTAGAGAGAGTGGCTTAGTTATTCCTAACTTTTCACTTTCTCCTTTAAGGTCTTTACTGCAACAGAACCTGGGATGGATGGTTGTGCTGGAATGATGTTGCGGCAGGAACTGAATCAATGCAGCTCTGTCCTGATTACTTTCAGGACTTTGACCCTTCAGGTGAAAGCAACAATTTACATAAATCTCCTTGACACCTACTTAATAAATCCTAGGTTTATTAAATTATTGTTTCCCTTTCCCCTTTTTAATTTTCCAATTAAAGAAAAAGTTACAAAGATTTGTGACCCAGATGGAAACTGGTTCAGACATCCAGCAAGCAACAGAACATGGACGAATTACACCCAGTGTAATCTTAACACGCATGAGAAAGTTAAGGTATGTAATAATTGTGGATGGAAACTTAATTTGCCCTACCTATTTAAAAAGTTCTTTGTCCAACACAGTATTGGAAAAAATTTAGCCAGTGTTCCATTCTGTTGAATACTTTTCACAGTATAATTTGAAAATGACAATGAAAACGAAAAACCTAGCCTGTTAAGTGATAATATATTTACAAGTCAATGTCTCAGTACAGGGGTATCAAATTTCACAAGGAAAACATACTCTAAAAGTGTAAGAAAGCAAAAAAAAAAAAAAAAAAAAACCTTTATTTGTGGTTGAATTTCTAGAATTACCTTCAGGACTTGTACTCAAGTAAACAAGATTTAACCCAGCAGGGTTTAAACAATCCTGTTTATAAAGCAAAGGGGTCTCATTCTGAAAGGCTATTTAAAGTTACTCTCACTCATATTCCCACTTTTAACACCATATATTAAGGTCAAAATTAGGCTTAGTTTGTAAAGATAATAAAGGTTTGATGGAAAACACATGTGTACCCTGTATTTTTATCCAGATAATACACACCTTCAATGTTTGTTTGCCAACCGTGCCCTCCATCCTCCAAGCATTTTTGTAATTGCTGCTATGCCAATTTTTTTTTACGTGTTATTGTCACAGTGATCAAAATTATGAGTTCTGATATATGACTTCAGGTCTCTACCCTTTTACCAGCTGTGTGACCTTGGGAAAGCTATGTAACCTCTCTCTACTTCAGCCCAGGCCCCTCAAGTGTAAAATGGGGATAAGAATAGATTCCACCCTTAGGTTTTCATGAGGATTGACTTAATACAAGGAAAATACTTAGAAGACTACTTGGCATAGAGTAAGCCCTGATAAATACCAGCTGTCACAATAATTACCATTATTAATGTATCCCCTACTTTCCTTTAGTGAAGCATTTTCAAGAGAATGATAATAATATATAATAAAATGGTAAGTTACAAATAAATAAGATACAGACAAATAAAAATAAAATAGAAAAATTTAAAACCAGGAGCAAGTTAGAACACATTAATATAGATCATAGTATCCTATGAGTTACCATATTGAGATTTATCTCTAAGCCTCAAATTTGTTAAAGAAAAAAGAGAAACTAAGGCACAAATAAAGCCTTTTCTGGCTTATATTACACAACCTAGATCAATAAAATGATTATTTTATGCATGTAATATATGACTCCTAATTTCTTAAATAAAAAAGGGCGTATCATTTCATAACTTTTGATGAGCTACATGGTAAATCTGCATAGTCTTTATTCCAGATGTATTCAAGTTATTTATTGGTTTACAAGCCAACCATTGGAAGGCTATTGTCATTTACCAAGTGCTTTTAAAAATCTAATGTAGTTCACTGAATTTGAGCTTCTGCACAAATAAGATTATAGGTACTTACAGTATTAAAATAAGCTTTAATTTTTATTCATACAAATAAATTGTGTTTTATTTATACAAATTATAGACTGCAATGAACTTGTTTTACCTGACTATAATTGGACATGGATTATCTATTGCATCACTGCTTATCTCGCTTGGCATATTCTTTTATTTCAAGTAAGTACATTTAAAATATTTTTAAATTTTACAAATGGTCTTTACTGAATGCAATATTGTATGCATGTTTATATTATGTGCTGATAAAATACACAAATGTATAGATAATTTATACTGCTTAAAATTAACTGTTTAAACTAAGCTAATCTCATCTTGGCTTTGTAAACATGTAGAGAGGAAGTTGATGAAATATATTAATACCAATATTATAAGATTAGCAGAGGGGGGAAATGCAGAAAAGAATTTCAAATTCCCATGGAGGATGCATGAACTCCTGAAACTATTGCCCTGAGATAAACTTAAAACCTTAAACCAAAAATAACCCCTGAAGTCATCTTAAAACTAAACAACAGCCTAGCTTAGCTAGTAAAAAAAGAAGTCTGCCTTGAGCATTATATTCTTTTTTTTTTTTCTTGTGTATTTCTTTCTTTCTTTATTGTACTTCTGGTGAAGGCTTACAGAACAAATAGTTTCTCATGAAACAGCAGCACACACATTCTTTTATGACATTGGTTAACAACTCCACAACATATCAACCGTCTAACTTCTCAACCTTTTTTTTTTGGAGAAAATACACATAGCCAAAGATACACCATTTCAAAAATTTCTACATGCACAGTTCAGTGACATTGACTACTCTCTTCGAATTGTGCTGTTATTCTCATTTAAGATGAAGGCTTACAGAACAAAATAGTTTCTCATTTAACAGTTACTACAAATGTTGCCCTATGAC